CAGGCCGAAGTCATTGCTCCACCAGTTCAAACTCAAGGTGTTGACTTGTTGAGAAAGATGAATTAATTTCAATTTTGGGAAAACCTAAATACAGCCAATTTTTTAAATTATTTTTTTTTAAAATTATTCTCTTACATACAGTTACAGAAATACATTCACATAGTTATTATTCTTATTTATCTTTATCACTTTTACGTATTTGTTTTTCCATATAAAAAGGTTAAGATATACATTCTGGGTTGCTTGGCTGACCATCCCATACATCTATTTTGTATTATCACCACCCTAATTTTTCTTTTCTTTTCACCCTCCCTCCCTTCTCTCCTTTCCTTCTTCCTCCTCTCCTTTCCCTTTCCTTCTTCCCTTGCTTCTCCCCTACTCCTCTGTTCCTCTCCCCCTCCTACCCTCTCTCCTTCTCTTTCTATCCCTTCTATCCTTCCTTTCCTCTTTCCCTCCCCTTCCCTCTCTTCTACTCTCCTCCTTTCCTTTTCTAATACAGCTGAATTATTACGGTCATCCTTAAGTAGGATCAAAATTTACTTAGGACAATTTGAGTCATGCTCAGGTTTTTTTTTCCCTGCCCCTGAATACATAAAGGGGATTGCAAAAGCGATGATTATGCTGGCTTTAATAGCTGCCCTTTTTGCTCAAAGGATATAAATCAATAACAATATAAAATGAATGCTTGGATCACTGGAGCAGCCCTCACCGCCTTCCTCCTTCGTTGCTGCCATGATGGGCTGAATCTTTTCATTTTGCACCGCAGCAGAACTGGAAGTATGGTTGGAAATCTAATTTAGCCTCAGGGACCACGTGGTTGGGCTCACCGATCTCATTTCTATTTAAGAATGAGTTTTCTTCTACTATCACTCATTCTTGGCTTCTATGGGTGCCTTAGAGTCAGTGTTAACAGGAGTGGTGCAGTGGCCTAGAGGGGGAGCTCCTGCCTCACAATCAGGAGGCCGGGAGTTCGATCCTAGGTAGAGGCAGAGATTTCTCTCCCTGGGTACACTGAGAATTTATCTGCTGGATAAAATTCCGCACTGGTGACAGGAAGGGCATCTGGCCAGTAAACATTCTGCTAGCTCCATTCAGTTTCCCAGACTCCACTCCACAAGGGATTATGGCAGTGGTCGGTTCCGGCTTCACCCTCATGGACACGCGCTGTGTGTGCATGCGTCGTACCTGCCTATGACGCCTCCGCAAGCCAGCTGCTTGGCGGAGCGTTGTGTAGGCGCTGTAGGCACCATGCGCGTGTGTGGAAGTGCCAAAGGCTTAAAGGACAGGTAAGGAGCTCGGGC